CGTATCTATTTTTGCTCTTCTCACTTGTGCTTTTGATGTCATACTTAAGAAATCCTTGCCTCATTCAAGGTTACAAAGATTTAGACTTATGTTTTCTTCAAAGAGTGTAACAGTTTTAACTCATAACAGGTCTTTGGTCCATTTTGAGTTATCTTCCAAACTCAAATATGACAGGAAGTAAGGCTCCATCTTCATTCTCTTGCACAGACAGCTAGCTTGGCACCATTTGTTTGAAAAAAATCTATTCTTTCTCCACTGAATTGTCAGTAATCAAATGTCCATAAGTTTATTTCTAGACTCTCAATTCTATCACATTGATCATATGTCTGTGCTTATGCCAATTCCACACTGTCTTTTCTTTTAACCCCACCCTCCACACTGTCTTGATTACTCACTTCGTAGCAAGTTTTGAAACAGAGATATGAATCCTATGAATTTTAGGATCAGCTTGTCAATTTCTCCAAGAAAGCCAGCTGGGATTTGATACAAAAATTGCATTGAACTTAGAGAGTGATCTGAGGATTACTGCATCTTTTTTTTTTTTTTTTTTTTTTTTTTTTTGAGATGGAGTCTCGCTCTGTCGCCCAGGCTGGAGTGCAGTGGCGTGATCTCAGCTCACTGCAAGCTCCGCCTCCTGGGTTCATGCTATTCTCCCGCCTCAGTCTCCCTAGTAGCTGGGACTACAGGTGCCCACCACCACGCCCAGCTAATTTTTATGTATTTTTAGTAGAGACAGGGTTTCACATGTTAGCCAGGATGGTCTCAATCTCCAGACCTCGTGATCCGCCTGTCTTGGCCTCCCAAAGTGCTGGGATTACAGGCGTGAGCCATCGTGCCCGGCCGGAATCCTGTATCTTAACAACAGATAAGTTTAATGTCTGTGAGGTTTTCTTAAATGTCCATTGTCAGGTCAAGAAAGTTCCACGTTAGTCGTAGTTTTTTCAGCGTTTTTATTATGAAGGGGTGTTGAATCTTACGAAGAGCTTTTCCTGTCTATTGGGACTATCATGTAGTTTTTGATAAGCGAGATTAGATTAATTGGTTTCCAGATTTTTAAACCAAACCTATATGCCTGAAATAAATCCAATAGTCATGATGTATAATCATTTGTTATATATTTCTGATTCCATGTACTTACATTTCACTGAGGATTTTTATGTCTATAATGAAAAGACACAGGTCTGTGGTTTGTTTTCTTGTAATATATTTGTTTGGTTTTGGAGTGTTGAAATTTGGGGCCAAATAATGTGTTCCGTAGGGATATCCTGTACATTTTAGGATGTTTAGCAGCATCCCTGGCTGCTAGCCATTAGATGTCATTAGAGCAGCTTATATATTAAGCCATTTCTTTCACTAGTAAGTAAAGGTAATCACCACATGTTATCATTCTGTTATCATAAGAAGTTTTCTTTTAAAAAAAGGTTTTACAGTTTATCTTGGGTGGATTTTCTCACTCTTTCCTGAAATTTCCAATATCTTTTTGAAGTTGTGACCACTCCAAATAAAAACTATTCAAAATGACAAAAGCACTCACTTCTAACAACAAAAAGTTGATTCCTTTGAATTTCATAAATTTAGGCATCAGGTTAATTCTGTCATAATAAATATCTAACACCCTCACATTCTATTTATTTCGTTTGTTTGTTTGTTTGTTTGTTTGAGATGGAGTCTTGCTCTGTCGCCCAGGCTAGGGTGCAGTGGCCGGATCTCAGCTCACTGCAAGCTCCGCCTCCCGGGTTTACGCCATTCTCCTGCCTCAACCTCCCGAGTAGCTGGGACTACAGGCA